GAGAGAGAGAGAGAGAGAGAGAGAGAGAGAGAGAGAGAGAGCTGCAACATGCAGCATGTCAGTGGCGGGGAGCACAAGGGCAGGTGCTGACCTCCAAAAAAAAAAAAGAAGTAATTTGATTGGAATACACAAGTTTTCTCTTTTCAAAATCCGAATAGAAAGGGTACTTGTTATATTCGAATACAATGTGTACGTTTTTATTCGAGGAGCTTTGCTATTCGCGAAAAGTGCACCTGCACCGTTTCAATTTTGAAAATGGCTTAAGGACCTCGGCCTCCTACGGGCAGCTACCGGTCCTACGCGGTCCTGGCCCTTGCAAGGCCTCAAAACTTCAAATGCCCACCCTCCCGACGACCACCGACGTTGAAATTTGATTGATTGACGTTGAACGTTGAAATGTCTCAGGGGGGGAAAACGCAACCCTGACGGGCTGCGAACTGACCGTAGATAGCAAAGCTCAACGGCCGAAATCTCCCTATTTGTGCAAGTGGGACCTTGCCCCGGGTATTTTGTAGTGAACTCAGGAAATGGAGACTTGTATAGCAGATAGGAAGTGGACGGACACCACGGTTTATACGATTTTTTTTGGCCCTGACAGCTATACGGCCGCTATACGAAATTCTGTATAGCGGACAGTAGCGGAGCGAGACCGTATGCCTTGTGAGGACCCACAAAATAAACAAAAATCGAAACGTCAACTAGACCGCGCCAATTGGGGCACGGCCCCCAGCCTCGGTCAATGTGAGTTTTGATAACGGATTGGCTAAAAGGAAAAAAGGCATGTACAGCGTGGGCTTTTTTGGTCACCCGCGGCCGGGGCTGTGCAGGCGAGTGGACAGGCGGGCCCAATGAAAAAGAATTCGTGAAACGACGCGAATATGGGCCGCGCGCAACCGCTCGCAAAATGTGCAAAGTTGACAATGAATCTTACCCGAGAACATGGAAAGATACCTCGCAATATTTTTATTCGTCATTTGTGAGTAGTGCAGTGAGGCCCTGTCCTTGCCAGAAAGGTAAATGTGACGGTGCCATCGATCGCAATTTATTGCGAGGTATCTTTCCATGTTCTCGCATAAGATTCATTCTCAACTTTGTCACATTTGTGAGTATAGTGCAGTGAGGCCCTATCCCCGCCAGAAAGGTGAACGTGAGGGTGCCATCGATCGCAATTTCTGCGCGCGCTTGTATTGGCGGGGCGGCCGACAGGTCGCCGTTTGTGCGTGCCCGCGCCCTGTGTTTTCGAATGTCCAAGCCCGCGCCTACACTTGCGTTGAATTGAATTGGCGCGGGTGTGACGGTGCCGTCAATCGTAATTTCCGCGCGCGCTTGTGATCTCCCCGCGTCTGAGGTGGCACTATTCCGCACGCGTTTGCGAAAGTCCAACGCTCCCCCCCTCCCCCCCCGAACATTTCCCAAACAAAAAGGGAAAAAAAAAAGGTCCAACCCCGCGCCAACACTTGCGGTGAATCATAATACTCTCGTGGAGCTTAATATTAACTTGCGTTGAATTGAATGGGCACGTGGAGCTTGACGCGAACGAGGGCAAACTCACACGACGGTGGGACTTCTTCCAAGTTTTTTTTGGACTTATCTCTGGACGTAACTACGGGCATACACGCAGCACGGGCGGCAGGTTCGGTCAGACATATCCAGGAGAGTTCTGGTGTTAGTATGTACTGAAATGTTGATTGGGTTGGGCTACTTAGCCCTCAGGAAAAAAAAAAGAGAAAAGTTAACAGTCGGAGCTGGAAAACATATGAGAGCGAGAATGTTAGGAAATTCACTATATAGTTGGCGTCAATAAGTTGGCTGTTCTGGAAAGGCAAACTGAGAAGAGAAGGGGCGAAGAAGACTGATACTGTCGGAGACTATTTGTTCAGTGTGCTACCGAGCAGGAGGAGCACAATGGTTGGTCCGTCTGCCGATCTAGTACTTGGAGTGGAAGCGAGATTGAATCTCCTGCGGGCTTGGACATCACGGAACAAGCCAGGCGTTCTCAGCCCGTTACGAGGAAGAGTGGTGCTCTGTTTTCTTGCTGTGTGAAGAAGGGGAGAGGAAGAAGGGAGGGGTAGGTGGGGTGGGCGGGTGCCGAGGACGGTGTGCTGCTGATCGTCGGTATGCGGTTCGTCTCGGCAGGGCGAAAGATAGGCTCAGGTATTTGCCGAGAGAAGTCGGCCTCTGCCTTGTGGAGAGTACCGTTAGGCGGAGTGAGATTGAACAGCTATGGAGGAGGAGGAGCAGGGGGAGTGTGCAATCTGGGTGAATCCGGTCGTTCTGGGGAAGGGGGGTTCCATATGTACCAAGCAGAACCAGGAGGAGTTTCGAGATCGGATGGCTTTGGCAGCCTGTATTCGCTGCGATGGCGGGTAAGAAACGGTGAGGTGGAGGGTACTTCGGCTGCCAAGGACTCTGCTGGTAGTCTCTTCCGTAGGAGAGGTCTGGAGTTCGAACCCCAGGTTAGCCTCGCGTTCGCCGCACAGGCTCCAGGGGGGGGGTTACTTAATATGCACTTGCGCGGCCCGGCCACCTGCAGTCACTGCTCAGCTGGGATCGAACTCAATGGTTTCGTGTTCGAACCTCAGAACGGACGTGTTTCTGTACTACCTGGAACGACGGCGACATTCTCATCATCGGCGACTGCGGCGGCGGCGGCGGCGGCGGGGAGTGGTGTGACGGCCACGAGAAAGGCAGCGCGTTTCACGCTAGACTTGGCGCGCAGTGATTCCAGCGAGCCAGGGGAAGCTCGCGAAGATCATGATGGTAAGGGCGGGAGCGCGATGGATACGAGGGAGGTCGCGGCAGTGGAAGACGCCCGTCGGGTGTCTGACTGGGCTGTGGAGCCAAGGAAGCTGAGCCGCGCAGACGGGACACCATGGCCGTGGAGGTCCTTTTCTCCCAAAGATGCAGTGCGCTACGACAGCGACCTCCCTGCCTCGGAGTTGACGAGGCATCATGCGCCGCAAAATTTCGGGGATAAATTTGCGTTTTTCGTGGTAAAATGTCTGCGAGTCCCCACAGATTTGTTTTTCCGCAAAAAGTATGGTTGCCGTGCTGTGATGTTAGAGACTGTGGCCGCTGTGCCGGGAATGGTGGGGGGGATGCTTCTCCATCTCCAGTCCTTGAGGAGATTCGAGCACAGCGGCGGATGGATTCGAACTCTGATCTCTGAGGCTGAGAATGAACGTATGCATCTGATGACTTTCATGGAAATTTCGAAGCCTCGGTTGTGGGAAAGAGAGCTGGTGATGGCAACTCAGGGAATCTTTGCGAACGGCTTCTTCGTGCTTTACGTAATCAGTCCACGTATCGCTCACAGAGTGGTCGGCTACCTCGAGGAGGCGGTTGTCTCGTACACCAGATATCTGGAGGAGATTGATGCGGGAAGGATAGAGAACGTTCCCGCGCCGAAGATCGCGATCGACTACTGGGGGCTTCCGCGGGACGCGCGACTCCGCGATGTCATACTGGCGGTGCGCGCCGACGAGGCGCATCATCGGGACGTTAATCACTTCGCGTCAGACATCAAGAGTGCGGGCAAGCAACTCAAGGACATCCCGGCGCCCGTCGACTACGACAAGTGAATCGTTTCGTCGCGTACGACTAGCTCGCTGCGCGCCACCGTCTGATTAGTGATAGGCGAGTTGTTCGTCTGCGCGCGTGCGCGAGGGCTGTGCGTGCGGGCGTCATCGCCGGGAGCTACCAGCGGGATGGGCGGTCAGCAGCAGCATCTCTCTCTCGTTCGGACGGGGGGAGAGAGAGAGAGAGAGAGAGAGAGAGAGAGAGAGAGAGAGAGAGAGAGAGA